CCTCATCCTCCTCTTCAGTCCTTCTCCTCCTGGGTCCTCTTCCTCCTCTTCATCCTCCTCCTCTTCCTCCTCAGTCCTCAGTCCTCCTCCTCATCCTTCTCGTCAGTCCTCCTCCTCCTATTCAGTCCTCCTCCTCCTCAGTTCTCCTCAGTCCTCCTCCTGCTCATTCCTCCTAAGTCCTCCTCCTGAGTCCTCCCCCTCTTCCTCCTGAGTCCTCCTCCTGGTTCATCCTCCTCCTAGTTCCTCCACCTTCTCCTTCTCCTCCTCAGTCATTCTCCTCCTCCTCCTCAGTCATCCTCTTCAGTACTCCTCAGTCCTCCTCCTTCTCAGTTCTCCTCAGTCCTCTTCCGAGTTCTCCTCCTCCTCAGTCCTCCTTCTGGGTCCTTCTCCTGAGTCCTCCTCCTGAGTCCTCCTCCTGGGTCCTCCTCCTCCTAGGTCCTCCTCCTTCTCCTCCTCAGTCCTCCTCCTCCTCAGTCCTCCTCCTCCTCCCTCTCAGTCATCCTCTTCAGCCATCCTCCTCAGTCCTCCTCCTCCTCAGTCCTCATCCTCATCGTCCTCTTCAGTCCTCCTCCTCCTGGGTCCTCTTCCTCCTCTTCATCCTCCTCTTCCTCCTCAGTCCTCAGTCCTCAGTCCTCCTCCTCATCCTTCTCGTCAGTCCTCCTCCTCCTCAGTCCTCCCCAGTCCCCCTCCTCCTCCTATTCAGTCCTCCTCCTCCTCCTCAGTTCTCCTCAGTCCTCCTCCTTCTCATTCCTCCTAAGTCCTCCTCCTGAGTCCTCCCCCTCTTCCTCCTGAGTCCTCCTCCTGGTTCATCCTCCTCCTAGTTCCTCCACCTTCTCCTTCTCCTCCTCAGTCCTTCTTCTCCTCCTCCTCCTCAGTCATCCTCTTCAGTACTCCTCAGTCCTCCTCCTTCTCAGTCCTCCTCCTTCTCAGTCCTCCTCCTTCTCAGTCCTCCTCAGTCCTCTTCCTGAGTTCTCCTCCTCCTCCTCCTTCTCAGTCCTCCTTCTCGGTCCTCCTCCTCCTAGGTCCTCCCCCTCCTCCTCCTATTCACTCCTCAGTTTTCCTGAGTCCTTCTCCTGAGTCCTCCTCCTGAGTCCTCCTCCTGGGTCCTTCTCCTCCTAGGTCCTCCTCCTTCTCCTCCTCAGTCCTTCTCCTCCTCCTCAGTCCTCCTCCTCCTCCCTCTCAGTCATCCTCCTCAGCCATCCTCCTCAGTCCTCCTCCTCCTCCTCAGTCCTCATCCTCATCGTCCTCTTCAGTCCTCCTCTTCCTGGGTCCTCTTCCTCCTCTTCATCCTCCTCCTCTTCCTCCTCAGTCCTCAGTGCTCAGTCCTCCTCCTCATCCTTCTCGTCAGTCCTCCTCCTCCTCCTCAGTCCTCCCCAGTCCCCCTCCTCCTATTCAGTCCTCCTCCTCCTCCTCAGTTCTCCTCAGTCCTCCTCATTCTCATTCCTCCTAAGTCCTCCTCCTGAGTCCTCCTCCTCTTCCTCCTGAGTCCTCCTCCTGGTTCATCCTCCTCCTAGTTCCTCCACCTTCTCCTTCTCCTCCTCAGTCCTTCTCCTCCTCCTCCTCCTCCTCAGTCATCCTCTTCAGTACTCCTGAGTCCTCCTCCTTCTCAGTCCTTTTCCTGAGTTCTCCTCCTCCTCCTGAGTCCTCCTTCTGGGTCCACCTCCTAGGTCCTCCTCCTTCTCCTCCTCAGTCCTACTCCTCCTCCTCAGTCCTTTTCCTCATCCTCCTCCTCCTCCTCCCTCTCAGTCATCCTCCTCAGCCATCCTCCTCAGCCATCCTCCTCAGTACTCCTCAGTCCTCCTCCTTCTCAGTCCTCCTCAGTCCTCTTCCTGAGTCCTCATCCTCCTCCTCCTCCTCCTGAGTCCTCCTCCTGGGTCATCCTCCTCCTAGATCCTCCTCCTTCTCCAATCATACATCTACGTCTCCAATGTCTCCAATGTCTCCAATGTCTCCAAAAGCTTTGTCTCCAATGTCCCCAATGTCTCCAATGTCTCCAATGTCTCCAAAAGCTGTGTCTCCAATGTCTCCAATGTCTCCAGGACATGTCTCTGCACCCTATCTTTTCAAAAAAGACAAAAGACATTGGAGACATTGGAGACATGTCACCCCCCCCCCCCCCCCCCCCTATTGAGGACGAAATTCATGTTCTAACTGACTGTTTACTCTACTCCTCAGTTAGAGAAAAATTTAACTTCCATCCCAAAAATATTACTGACCTAGCCGGTTTGCTATCCGATAAAACACTAGACCCTACAAAATTTACTGCCACAGCAAGAGCAATCCATTCAATTCTCTCTGTGAACGAACATTTTACAGCCTACTATAAGAGCCCAGATTTCCACTCAAATACTGGCCAATGCATAATGCTATAGGACCTCAAAAATAGTATTATAAAACATTTCTATTTTATCCCTACACATTTGTAAATAACTAGAATTGTGTAACCTTAAATTATTTCAGAATTATAACTATTGTGAATTCAATAAAATAATTATCACTTTTGTATCCTTGTATCCCTTGTATCCTTGTATCCTATCAATGTAATATATTAAAAATCATAATCCTAAGTCTAATAATAAATCTGTTAAAAACACTTTCTCACTACACTGCGCTCACACACGTTAGTAAGACAAAGGAAAATGCACACCCAGCTAATTTTCAATTTCAAGATAATCATTTTGGATGTGTGGACCCTAGGGTAGACTTAATGTCAAAATTTAGATTAGAGCATTCGAAATCTTTGTTTGTCCAATCAAGATCAGCATGGTTATGCTGGTTGACGAGCAGTGATTGCTTCATCCTAGACTTCAGGCAGGCCACACTTAGACAGTAGTCACGTATACCAAGCTTAGGCACAATTACGTTCCAAATACGAGTCGTTCTGCTATTGAAGTTGTCAGGGGGGTCTGCTTGGCTTAGTATAAGGGTGGGTTTCCTACTTGAGCAGGTGAAATTTTCATGGAGGGAAATCGGAGCACGGAATTTCATGATTTTATAGAGCTCAAGGAAACAATGGTAAGTGTACAGGTTTTGGACGGCAAGTATTCCGTGTTCCTTGAACAAAGGTTTCGTGTGCTCTTTCAAGAAAAATTTTTTGTTCAGATTTTGGTTGCCAAACGGTCGAGCACGAGCACAGGTCTTAAATTTATCTAGGTATGCCTCCCTGTCGCCAAACAGTACCCTGAGACAATATTTTTGTGCTTTGAATACAGAACTTATACGAGTTTTGGCTGCCCCACCCCAAACCGTGATACAATAGGAGAGGTGTGATTCAAATAGAGTGTAATACAACTGGCGGTGTAAGAAATCTGGGAGGGAGCAGCGTAGGCGGCAGAGAGTTGATGATGCATGGCTGAGAGAACGCCTAAGTGATTTTATATGTTCTTCCCAGGTAAGTAAGTACTGCTCTACGGATCAGAAACCTGGACACTGATAAAGGCTCAAGAGAAAAGTTTGGACGGGACATACACAAAGATGTTGCGTATGGTGCTGGGTATCTCATGGAAGGACAAGGTCAGCAATATAAAAAATTTTCAAAAAAGTTACGAAGCAGGAGATTAAAAATGGCGGGACACTGCATCTGACATCCTGAGCTACTTGCCAGTGATTTAGTCTTATGGGAACCTACGCACGGTAGAGCACAGCAAGGCCAACCAAGACAAAGCTTCTTGTCTATGTTACTGAAGGAAGTTGGGACAAAATCTAAAGAGGAACTGCGAACCCTGATGCGGGACAGGGATATATGGAGGGGGTTATCTGGCGTAGATCAGACTTAGTTCCGACATAGTAGTAGTAGTAGTAGTTTAGAGAAAGATTAGATATTAGCATTGTGTTTCACTTTCTGTTATTTAGAACTTTAGTATATTATATACATACATAAAATTATTGTATTGAATTCTGTACAGTACTGGGACCTGTAAAATTTTAACCCACTTTTTAGTTAAAATTTAGATTTTTGATACAATTTTCCAGATATCTCATTTGGACTTAGGGAAAGATTCAGCCTTTGATTTTATTTTGAAAATTTATTTCTAGATTATAGAAGTTTATGATTCATGGGCAAACTTTGAATATGACTGTGATCAGCAGTTATTACTGCAGCAGGTCATTTTTTGTTAAGATAACTCTAGTGTAAGGTTTTACAAACCCCCTGGCCCTCCCCTCAGCTGAATGCTCTACATGATTACAGGTTTATAAGAGGCCCATCTAATTTTACCAATGTACCCCATTTCACGAAGTCACGACAAGTTAGAAGTACTATTGTTCTCAATTCTCATCTATCAGTTCAAATTCTGAAAGCTATAACAGGGGCAATTCACAAAAAAATTTCTGTGTTAGTTGATATTTTAGGTATCAGCTTTCGCATTAAATGTTTAAACTTATAAATGTTAAAACTTAAACATTTCTTGCTTAGAGTAAATTTGATTTACAAAGTTGCAGTTACTAAATTCTATTTAGGCTGTTTAACTGATCATTTGGTATTACACCACATTTGGTGATATGCACATTGCACAACACCCAGGCCCATACGATCTTCTATAAGAACTAGCAGGAACATACAGTGCAGCAATCTTCCTATTATGTTTAATTTTTATGAAGTTTACACTATTAAAAAGATGAGCTGAGCACTGTCTTCGAACTGAGCAAGTGACAATCATCAATTCACCATATGCATACTTATACTCCATATCATTAAATACGCTATGCATTTCTGTATATGTTCGCCTTTCTCGAGAAACTTCCAGTAAAGAAGTAACGTCAACAAAGTGTAGCCTGCATAGTACAGGAAACTCATATATATAACTATCTTGCTTTAGGACTCAAAAATCGGATTCCCTTCAAATTTGTCCGTGAAGTGATACATTGTGACTCAGAATTCTGCAGCTCAATCAACAGTGGTTATATAATCAGAACATGATCCTAGATAAATGAATTTTCTTAATCAAAAATAATATGTAGGTAGCGTTGTAAGACTTAAATCTCAAACTAACTGAATTTCTAGCGTTGTAATGAAAAGTTAGAACAATGTCTGGTCGCAGTGAAAACGGAGGTGACAATCCTGAGGATCGTCCTCATGAGTTTCTTGTGAGAGATCCCTCGGTAACCGGCAGGTTTGTCTCTATGTTTCTTAAGCTTGTATAATACAATATTGAACAGTATTCACTTACTTTAACCACTTATCTATAAGTATTGTTTTGCCTATCTGGATCTGATGTACTACAATGAATTTTTTTTCGTTTTTTAACACGACTTTTGTTTTCAGGAGTTCATTCCGTAAGAGGGGTGGTATTTTAAACCCAATCGTTAAAATCGGAGAGAACAACCTCGCCGACATAGAGGAACCAGATGTAGCCAGCATTGTGGACAACCTACGACGCCGCTACCTCAACAATGCTTTCTACACCTACATCGGAGATGTCCTGGTCTACATGCCCCCCTTCTCTGGTATTTCCATGTACACCAACGAAGATGTCCAGTATTACTGTGAAAACAACGCTTTTGATCCCGACTTGAAGCCTCATATTTACTCTTTTGCTGATCGGGTGTATTCTAACATGTTGTTTTGGAAGAGGAACCAAGTAGTGATAATGTCTGGATCCAGTGGTAGTGGCAAGACTATCAATACTAAACAGTTCCTAAGGTAGGTAGCTGCTTATGAAGATGTTAATTCAGTTTTAAAATACTTAAATCATAGGAATCATATCTTAATTAAGTACCTATTAATAAACATAGCTTTGAGCACGTCCCTTATATTAATTCATTAAATATTAATTAATTCCACTTCAGTTACATACAATCAGTATCAGGAGGATGGGATCTCTCAGTGACTCTAAAAACAAGACTGGCTCATCTGTTTAACGTCCTCGACTGTACGTTACTCTCAACTTTAAACTTGCTTTAAATAATAATCTCCACAATTCTATAAATATATGACGGAATTTATAGGAAGGCTGTACTAATTATAGTAAAATGTATAAATATTCTAAATCCCCATATCCCAGGTTTCGGATCAGCGCAGACTTCAGATAGTATATACGCTAGTAAATACGTGAGTTATTATTTGTAAATTATATTATCCGGATGTGGTATGTGTAAACTTAATCGTCATAGTTCTAAATAAACGTACAGTGTAAACTTTCTGGTATTATTTTCTCATGGGGAGATAATTATTCAACACTAAAGAACTTTGAAGTGTTACAGTTACACAGACCATTTACTACTCTCATGTTACAGCTCACGCTTTTTAAATATATTATCACAAACATACTGTATACAATAAACGTACGTTTTCAGCTTGAAATTCTTGATACATGTTCTTATCTTCTTATCTTATCACAACACTGTCAAGCAATACAATTATCTAATTGTTGTTAAATTATATTATATCATGAATCCTGGCACATTCTCATTATCATTAGATTTAATATCTACACGTTACGTCAGGAGGAGTGCATACTTGACTTGGAATGTACAATCTAAGGGGGGTGGGACGGGTTGGGGGAAGGGACCGGCGCGGGGGGTTGCACCCCCACGGCCCACTCTAACAAACTCCCGCAGAACCCATTCCCCCATATTATCTTAACTCTGATATATATCATATATATACAAATCTACAAACTCCGAATATGGACTCCACCTAATTTCAACAATTCTGAAAGAGACAAACCATCCAACTATTTCCATATAAACAGTAATTTTAACCACTGCTTCTTTCAGACGAGTCAGCTCCAACTCAAGTTCAACTATTTCCATATTATAAACAGTAATTTTAACCACTGCTTCTTTCAGACGAGTCAGCTCCAACTCAAGTTCAACTATTTCCATATTATAAACAGTAATTTTAACCACTGCTTCTTTCAGACGAGTCAGCTCCAACTCAAGTTCAACTATTTCGGTGATATCGTTTCTTGCCAACTCAAAACTTGTTAGTTCCTATTTCTCATAACATCTTTGATAAATCTTCACGAAAAAAAATAATTGTTCGTGAAGATACTTTTTCAATAATTTCATGAAAGTAACCATTATTTTGACGAGACAGAAGTAAACTAAGAACCCCCCAGGTCTACTAGAAAAGAGTAGAGTGTGCGGGCCTCCCCCAGGAGAAAGCAACTTCCACATATTTCACTTGCTAATGGAACACATTGGGAGTGACGGTGCAGCGTACCCCTACCTCAGCAACACTAATCACACCTTCGCTCTCAAAGTCACTCTACCCTCAATCCAGGTTTAACATCAATCACCAATCAATTAATAATCAATTACCCCAGCTAAACACCTTACCATCTTGTAATTAGTCCACTTAAAACTTGACAGTTAAAACAAGCTCATAATAGGTTTCACGTGTAAGCTAGCCCTAGCGTATAGTAAGCTAGCCCCATAATACTATGTACATATTATCCAGGGTGCATATAATTGTCCTGAAGTCTAGTTGTACAATATACCCCCTGTGGATTGTGGAATGTGTGTGTTGTGGTGTGGAATGTGTTGTGGTGTGGGACGCTACACACACAGAGACAATAGAGCTGTAACTTGGAACTAATCCAACTTGTATATTTGATTAGAGTCGCAGCTGTCGTGTGTTGCTCTACAAATATGGGATATTATAGTAATAATGTGGTGGTCACTGGTCGGTAAATAGTTTGAATGGTTCACCGTTATTCTTTCACTGCAAGGTGTGGTTAAGAAATGCTGCCTTTTTCTAAAAACTGTCAGTGTAACTCACAGTTTTTAATTTGTGAGATGCCCGTGAACAAAACAGGTTCAGTACAAATCATTGTTCTCAAATTACAAACAACATTAATTCTTTCCGTTGTTAAGACTTAATTACGAATTCTATTTTCGTCTATTTAACTGAGGGAAATTCGCTACTCCAGGATTGGAATGTAGCTATTCCAGGAATGGTGAAAGGAAAGAGAGCTATTATATTAGAAGGGCACAATATGTATTTACTCGTTTACTAAGTTCCAAGGGATCGTTTCCATATTGGCTGTGATATAAGAGAGTCTATATTCTACACATTCTAATATTCTACACATTCTACACGTTCTACACAATAGCTAGATGGAAGACTGATTACGGAGTCGAGGGGGAAGTGGGTTTCGGAAATGGTCAAAAACTGGGTTACGTAATTTGTAAAAGATCTTCAGCTATGTCTTCAATACTCCATCAACTTATATAAGACTTGCAATATTAAACACTACAGGACAGTTTAGTAGCTCTAGGAATGCCGGAGGGAGAGAAGGAACACGTGATCAACATTCTGACTGCAATACTGATACTGGGACAGATCCAGTACAAGACGGAGAATGATGGGATTGGGGTCAGGGTTACCAACCCTGGTGTTGTTAAAGTAAGTATAATACAGTTATTGTAGTGAGTACATATTACCTGGAGGGACTGGGATAAGATATGTACATTTTTAATATCTGGACTAGTTGTAACATAATTTTAATGGACTACCTAGTAACCAATCACCACACAATAATTAATCATGTGACCTGACAGGTGATAGCCAAGTTGCTGGGAGTAACCAACTCGTCCATGACGGATATGTTAACCAGCACACCTCATATCAGCGGAAACAGGAGTATCATGATGAACCCCCTATCTTACGACAAGGTCTGGTTTTTTACTTCTAGAACTTTCTAGAACTTTCTTTATTTGACAGAGTATGTCTCTAATGTTCCGCTCTGTTTTAGTGAACATTATATTGTATATAATAATATATAATATTATAAGTTAAGCGTTAGTATTAAGTATAGGTATGAGGCGTGCTTGTTGTTTAATATCATATTATTTAGCTGCTTCCGTTAAAGATAGAAAGTGCTACTTATCACTATCAGTTATCTTCTCTGACAAGGAATCACTTTCATTGTAATATCTCTGTTTTACGTGTACCGTATAATAGGTGTCCTAATATTTCACATCGCGTCGTTGCGACTGAGTCAAGGATTGAGTCAAGTAATAACTTAATAAGTTTAAGTTCACTGCAGTGCAATGTATCGTGTTGATTCAATCATGGATCACGGAAACTTTGGTGTGACTGATCAAATATTCACTATTCATATCTTTTAATAAGAATATCCGACATTTGAGCCACTAGTTACCAGCGGTTGGGACCGTTACAAACGCTTTAAAACTTGAGAACACCTGTTAGCTGTTCCAGTACATTCTACAACACAGCTAGAGAAAAGGGATACCGGATTGTAGCTTTAATTCTTTGATACAGCGCAAATGGCTCATTCGAATCGAAAAAATATCATTATATATGAAAATAATTAAAACTAAAATTCATCAAACAATAGGACATATCCTCACAAACTACTCCTACTGATCAGGCGATCTCAAAACGGAACTCACTGGCCAGTTACCTGTACCTGCGGCTCTTTAACGAGGTATTGATGAGTGCTAACAAGAGTTTGGCAGGGGAGGCTCCCGAGAAGTCTGATGATCTTAATCTTACTCTCGACATTGTGGACGGTTACGGCATCAAGTTAGTTTATATCACCAACAGCTACAGTAACCTCACATCTTTTGATGATTTTTTTCTTCGAAACAACAAAGTTTTCTCCCTTCTCTTATGTACTAAAAAGCCCCTAGACTCTCCGGAATTACCACTCGGTGCACTTATCCATTCAACAAATAACCCAATACCTATTTCCTCTGCAACATTAACCCACCCACCCCCCAGAGGTGGTGATCTGAACAATTTCGCGGTGCTGTGCTGCAACTTCAGCAATGAGAAACTGCACCAGTGCTTTATTGAGAGCGCCCTGACAGCGCCCCAGGAACTGTATTTGCAGGAGGGACTAGACTGGGATCCTATCAGGATACCTGATAACCGGGGAACTATTGGTCTCTTCACTGATGTCCAACCTGCCAGTCTTATGGAGGTAAAGCGGGCTTTTACTTTTAGATTTGTAGTTTTTTTAAATCACATTGACAGTATACCTTACATACTATACATAGTATGTAATTATGGTGATCGTTTTCACTGGTTGCCAACGATGTTGATACAATATAAACAATGTGGCTGACCAAGAAGAACAACCACCGCTCTATTATCACGGTGAAGGTGGGTTATAACTTAGGTAGAGTACCGGTATATTTCCTACACTCCTTTGTTGTCTACTGTAATAGAGACGTTGTGTAAACACACTTCTACTAGTTATATAAACAGTTACTTCACCTAAACTTCACAGTTCACATCACGTGGTAGTCACTACAAACACATCCTCATCTAGAAACTTACACTGAGTTAACAATTAACATATAATTAAGGTCCAATTAACATATAATCAAGATCCAATTAACCCTCAACAATCAACATGACCCCCTAAACCCCTGCAGTGTATTGAGAACGAGTGTAACAAGCCAGGAGACACAACTAACTTCCAGGCGGATGAGGCGTTTGGTGGAATCTCCTCTCCTTACTTCATGTTGTCCCATGAAGTAGAAAATGAGTTTATTGTACGACACTACATAGGCGAGGTGGGTAGATGACATCTTGTTTTACTTCTAGTAATATTGTACATATTATATTGGTGGTATTCTTAAGTTAAATTGTTGGATTAGAAGGAATTTTAGGTAAGAACAAGGCCAGCTTTTTCTCTGCACACACAATACATTATATAGGCCTCCCACACCCCACCCCTCTCTTGCCCCACCCCCTTCTTCCCAACCCCGGCCTCCTCCTCCCCCCCCCCCTCGCCCCTATATACGACCAGATGCAGATGAAATTGATTTAAGTCAGTATCAACGTAATTGACGGCTGACAGTTATTTTATTGGAAGATTTTTGTGTCAATTTATTAGCAGAGAGGTCAGTATTGGCAAGGGAATATAGCGTTGACAGGTAATGATATTTTACTAGGAAATTTACTCTACATGCAGTTGCAGTGTACATATTGTAGGAATTGTATGGGCTGAGAGTAGCTCACAGGTGTAAAATCTTGATTAAGTCCCTTTATAAAATACGTACCAATTAAAACACCCCACTTATCATCTCTTTCTTAATTCAGGTATCATACGATGCGACCAATTTCCACAAGATGGCTAAAACTGGACTACCCAAGGATTGTAAGAGAGTAATGAACAGCAGCAAGTTGGCACTTCTCCAAAGAATGTTCCCTGATGGTGCACAGTCCGAGTGGATGAAGGGTAAGTTGGGCTGTACTGGGGGGGGGGCCGGGGGGGGGAGATGGGGTGGGTGGGGTGAGGGTACTGGGCTTGGTTTGGTGCTAGAAGACTCTGTAAGGTAGATTGGATGAAGGGTATATTTTGATATGCAATTAACTAAATGGATCGGATTGTGGTAAGATGTAAAATATACATACCGGAATGTATTTGATGAGTACATTCCATTATTTGTTATTGTAGGCCCTATTATAACGTCGTTATTCTTGGATCTAGTGTTGGTTTTATCGCCAATTTGACGGCTTGAAACTATGATACAAACTGGATATAAAAATAGATATTTCCGATCAACAGCGCGGTGCCAGATCATCTATTATAAACTAATTACAACTCTACAAATATATTGCATAGATTGGGGACGTTACAGAAGGAATGTTATGATATAGGCTAGTGAGACGTTCTGTAATGTGTAATGTTCTGTAAAGTGTAATATGTTATGTTCTGATTTGCGTGTCACTTAAACCCCCCCCCCCCCCGGCCCCCCAGGTAAAAGTTCCATGTGTGTTTCACAAGTATACGTGGGTGCGATCGACAATCTGCTAAAAGACCTGAAGAATAAGTTCCTGTCCTTTGTGCGCTGTGTTAAACCTAATCTCTCTTCCACTCCTCAACTCTTTGAAGATGACTTTGTTGAAGATCAAGGTAAGTGTAGTGATGTCACCTGCATTATCTAAACATGACCGTATATGGTATATTATTATGTTCGAATATGCTAACCGGTTAGCTGGGATTAGCCCCAAAACGTATGCCGTGTTGCTAATAATGGCTTTCAACTTACGTCCTTAGTCTTAACGACATTTCACACTTATTTGGATGTTAAGATTAAAGTGCAATGTTATATGTGAACACAGTGATCAGTTGGACACCTTATAACGATATTATAACTCAGATTTGTTGTCGGACCATGGTTGTTAATTATAGGATTATCTGGATTACTGGCCCTGGAATTTGTCGTGTTGCTACGTTGTAATACGAACCCGATTTGAACAATTTGATCATTTATCATGGCCCATGTACATTGTTAACAAACAATGTGTACACGCTATCTAGAACCTTGGATCACGTTTCCAGCTAATAACATTCCACATTCCAGTAATAAAATTTGAAGAAATTAGAACAACTTTACGGAACGCGCGGTAATTTTGAATCAATCGTATTAGCGCAAAAATACATCTTAAATCAATTAATATATTGCGCGCTGACCAGTCGGATCGATAGCGCGCAATCGATTCAAATCGAATGATATTAAGATTGATCGACGTCATCGAGGTATTGAACAGTTTAGGCCTGCTCATGCCCCTCCCTAAGGCTTAATAAATCAACCGAAACTCTGATTCAGATTGACGTCATCATTCCCACCAATGAATATTGAATATTTATTATTTGGGCCCATCACAATGTGATAAACAGAAATGTAAGCTTTACAATTTTCAAGTGACGTCATTAGTGAAATGACGCTCCCTCTTCGAAAGGAAGGGCTTTATTTGTGAAATGAAAGTTCTAACAGAACAAACAGGACGGGAAAAATTCCAATACTAGACCACAATTTCAGTTCGGAGCTCATGCCTAGTGGAGACAGCGTTAATCAAGCAGCGAGGATTTGCATTCAGTTCGGATCTGGTCGGGTTTGTTCAGCGTTACAAATGTACACATGAAGAAGACAGGTTCAGAAGATGTGATGGAGATTGGCAAATGGCTGCTGATAGAATATGTGGTAAGTCTTACTGATATTTCGCCAAATTCATCTGCATTTTCCAGACTTTCAATTGAATGGTGCTAACTTTTCTAAATTGTTGGTCGGCTATATCGTCAGTTATATTCCATGTTTAATTGAACTCAACGTAATTATCAATCCCACAGGCAATCTGCAGATCGACATGGATCTGTACTTCGTAGGCTTCACTTGTATCTTCATTAAAGACTCTGCTACAGTCCTCTACCTCGAGAAGAAACGTGACGAGTGTATCGACTTTATAGTTACTAAAATACAGCTGTGTTGGAAGCGCCGGTACATAAACAGAAAGCTAGGACCTCACTTGAGAGCCTTGAGGGAGACACTCGCTCAAGCGGATAAAACTAAGTGAGTAATATTTTGTTAAATAAATACAAACACGTTTATAAACACATAAATACGTTTAGTTTCATAAATACATACACTTTTTTTTTCGTTTATACTTTTAAATAAGTTATATAAGCGAAGTAGCGTTAACATATTACGTAAGCAGCCTAGAGAAGGGTGTTTGGAAATGCTTACCGTTGCAGTAACATCGCCACTAAAAGTGATTACGGATAAGGAGTGTCTAAAACGGCCAAAATGTGGCTTACGGAATAAGTGAACGATCCTGTTAAGCCACTCGAGTAGATTTCCAAAAAAAAGCTGACAAATAATTTAGATAAAAACATCACTGAAATAACAAGATAAGCCCATTACAATCGGCAAATAAAATCCTACAACTCGTTTACAGCACTATAAATTAAAGCACAAATACAGCAAAATCCAATAATGTTATAACATACGTGTAAAGATTGTGCCGAACATATCAGAAGAAATACTGATTACACCCAACAATCGGGATCAAACAATTGGAACTAAAGAAAATCTTATTGTCTTCCGTTTTCTTTAAAGAAGGCTGACAGTTATGTTCCCTCTCCTGAATCAGGCACTTCAACCGGACCCCCTCTCTCTCCACCTCCACACAGAACATATCCCTTCTCCGCTCACACTTCAAACTGCTCCTACAACTAGTCCTACAGTTGGTCCACACTACTCTGTCCTGTCTCATGTTTAGTTCTATCCTACAACTTGACAACCAGGGGGTATTACCCTCGCTTTCTACCCTCCTACATTTATTACCTCCCATCCTACACCGGCTACCCAACACGCTCAGTAGTTGCAAGTAGATTTTCCGAGCATCTGTGGTTGTTGGGATTGTAATGTTGAAGTCTGATTTGCAAAGTGAAGCCCATAATTCGGGTAGATGAGCTAAGTTTCTGAGTTTGGTGCTGGTTTGGGAGAGGTTGAGGAGAGTTGTGGCTGAGCAGTTGTGTAGGATTTGTAGTATTAGTTCGTCTGGTAGCGCCTGTAAACAAGTGGGGTCTCGAGGGTTGTGGTGGTGTCTTGTTGTTTGATTACATGTCTCCCGCTTCCTTATCATTCTGATTCTTAGTGATTTGTTATTACGTTATTAGATTCAGTTAAAGCTCTGACATTGTGACATAAAGTTGAGGATTGAGTGAGTTTAAAATTACAATAAAGTATGTGTATTGTGTATCCTACGGGCTGGTCACACGACGTAATGATCTGTCAAAACTAGACAATGGACATAGGTGACATTATATCTCAATATCTGTTAGTAATATATATAGCCAGTAAACCAGTACAAAACATTTTGAACAATGAACAATTTAAACATTTCGAAAAAAAACAAAGGTTAGCATGGTGAAAAGAGGCGCCCGAAAGAGAAGCTAAAACAATCCAAATAAGCAAATACACGATGAGAGCAATAGGTCCAGGGAGAAGATCACACAATACACGCTAAACAATTGGAGTACAATATTATAACCTGTGATCATCATCTGGACAAAGCTTTACTACATGCAGTTTAATGGTAATGAAGGGAGTGTTACACTCATGTCAGACACCCACCAATCAGGAGTCAGATGTTAAAGTCACGTGACTGAAATAGACCAATTAGAAGCCACGATTTTGGACCTTAAGTTCTTTGCTGTAAATCGAGTAAAGATAAAGTCGTCGCAAGTGCTTGCAGAAAAGTAATCACCATTCAAGCATGCCTCAAAATGTTTAGCTAAAAGCTAATCAGCAACTTTAATGGCGGTTAAGCTTGCTTACCGTGCATCACTGTAACATTGCCATGTAGAATCTACTATACAAATAAAAATATTGTTATTTATAGCTCGTGTATTTATAGTTGTTTAACCTATGAAAGTAAAATGGTAAATTACAAGATTCAAGAGTGATAAGCTTTTAACGACCTGCACTCGGGAAATAACTAACTTAGATAATACTAATTAACTAATTTAGATAGATGAATTGACGAGAAGGTAAATATTAGAGGGAAAGTATGAAATTGGTGAATAGAGTAGGGTAAAACGCGCTCTAGGTAGAGTAAAACACACCAGAAACTACAAAACCCGCACTTAAAACCACACAAAATGTAGAAGTTGAGTAACCCAACCCTAATTACCCTTAAGGGGCCAGCAGGATGCAACCAAGTCAGATATACACGCAAATGTGTATCCGTACACCTTACATTGTGTCTCACTATTGGTATTTAATCGTATTAATTGTGTCGTATCATCCCGCGATTATTAACTTTTAATCATTATGAAACTGAAGCAATTAATATTAACCTTCATACAAGTATTAATCGCTCAACCATTGAATCATCTCGCTATTTAATTAGAAGCATTATTTTCAGTAATCATTCATAATTTGAATACTAATTATTCATAATTATTAATTAGTTTTGGTCTGTGAGATAAGTGTGATAATTGAGAGGTTTAGCTGCATTCCGCCTCACAACACAGTCTGTTTAAGTTGTTAAGGTGTTTTATGGGAACTTCAAGGCTGACTTTAATCGTGTTTTAATTATGGTAATTACTAATTGGTTGTAATTATTCTAATTGGTTGTTCAACTCACGTGTCACCTTCTCCACTTCATGACATTTTTTATTGAACTTATGCATATATACATACTAAGAACATTAAACAGTATTGACAATTACAATAATAAATATTGTTTTAATCCCACAAAAACCATTCTTCATGTAAATGATGACATATTCATGTTTGTTTAGATTATAATAAAGTAAAACCTCTCTATACCATGCCTCTCTATACTATACCGGGTACCTCGATATACCGGGCCCCTTCTTTTCCCCCTAATTTTTGGTCGATTAGCCCGTTTTTTGATGTTTAGCGAAAGGAATGTGATTTTTGGTGCTCATTTGGCGGTAATGTGAGAACATATCGCTGTATAGCTGTATTTCATCGCTATATACGACAAAATACGTGCATACAAGACAGCTAATGAAGTATACGAGACGCTTGACAGGTTATTTGAGAGGTTAGGAATACTAGAAACTGGGATCGGGTATTTTCTATACCGTGCACTTTCCGTTTCCCCTGAGAAGCCCGGTATAGAGAGGTTTGACTGTAATATATAGGGTATATATAACATATCACTTAGCAATATCCTTCTAAAACTACATGTAAAGTATTAGCATCATAAACCACATCAGTTCTTACAGCAGCATCTATATCAGTGTAAAAAGTAATCTGTTTCCCACTTAAACTTCTACCGTACAATCTGTTGACCTTTCCTTTCTCGCAAAATATCCTTCTGTTTAGACTGGCATTAGGGTTGATCTCGACATTGATATCTTCAATCTTGATATCTTCCTTCTCGACATTGATATCTTCATGGTCCGCTGAAATGTTGTTTGGTGGATTCTTATTGAAACTGATGACCCTTCCGGCGACATTGTTGTTGTCTCCGTGGCTGCTGGTATGGAGGATTGTGGTTATTATTGTGGTGTGGTCGAAATTGTTGTTGCAGTTTTCAGCGCAGTTAGAGGAGTTAAATGATACTGAGTATCCCTCAGTTTTCAAAACCTCAATAACATGAACTAGATACTGTCTCTCCACCTGATTTGTCTGTAGTAGACTGCAAACATGGCGAACTGTTTTTAAATCCGGTTTATTCAGCGCAACCCAAGACATCACCACCTCAAAAATGTAAAAACTGGTTTCACAGACTCTGCAGACTTTTAGAATGTCCTCTTTGCTCAGCAACTTCCAACGAGTCAGCAAATTTTGTTCATTAGGGATGAAATTGTGATCAGGTGACTCACGATTATCTAGTTCTCGGGAGATAATTTTTGTCATGTTCTGGAAACTTTTCCACTTTCCGATAAGAAGTCCCCAGACTTCTATCTTCTGGAAGAAATTGATGATGTCCTTTCTTGTGCAGCTTGAAAACGCTTCAACGAACGTGATATGATATTCATATTGTTGAAATGCATCTACAATTTCGCTGATGTTAGATTGGTCTATTAAACTTGTTACTATTTTCAAAAGCTTCTTTGCCAACTGTTTATTTGTCAGCATCCTGAAAACAACCTTAATGCCTAATTTCAAATTGATGTCAGCAACAAGTTTCTCTGCTTCTACAAGATTCAAAACCTCTATGGATCTCTCCAAAGGCCAGTAATAGTCGATGTTGTTATCAAAGTCACATAAACTAGAAAAATCAGCGGCTTTCCAACACACTTTAACCATGTTGATGAGATTGGTTTTAATCACAAACGTCTCCAAGAACACTAACCCTTGTTCTACTAGGTCAGCCACACCAAACTGGATCCCAAACTTAATAATTTCCTCAAAGTTGTCCTCGTTTAATTCTACACTACCACCATGTAAAATAATCAAACACTCCTTAGCAAACTCGTAGTTATTCAGATGGATATCCTCCTCATTAACGACCATGTTCTTCAATACTTCACTGTGTTGGGAGATAACAGAACCGCTAACTTCTAAAGTATCTGTCTTGGTCCATATTTTGACTGTATGTCGAATATTCCCCCGTAGTAGAAATCCCGATAAGTCCTGGTCGAAGTGTTTTATTCTTGCTGTCATTACTTCTCTGCTCCTGACGTGAAAAACATCAGTATTCAGTAAAAGTCAATAAAAGAAAATATTCCAGAAGAATTTTTTCCGGATGATATTGTCATGCCTAATGTCCTAGCGATTGATTATTTCGAACACACAAATCTCTGAGATAACACTGAATTCGTAAAACAAATGAGCAATACAAGAGAACCTGGAATTCAGACCAATGATTGTTTGTCGTTGCTATATGAATATCAAATAACGGGAATTACACAATACAACTAATACAACATGTTTTAGGTCAGGTACCTTCTAATTTAATTGATGTTGCTCTTGATTTCGGTATTTTTTACAATTTAGCTTCCTAAGTATTAAAAATGACATAACGTGTTGAATTTAGTTTTATAATAACTTTGCAGCGGCGCAAATCGGAGTTCTAGAATTACGCGGGAAATTACGCGGGAGTAATTGTAGTTTGGGTCAGTTCGTTTTATGACGTGTCGACTACGTTTACTTAGTATACTTTATCCCTACCGTTTTATTACATTTTTTACTTTATCTACCTATCACTATACAGTATACATATTTAATCTTAAATTATCATTTTAGTGGAACTATGTAAAAGGGGATCGTTGCTAGCGTTAAAACTGTTTTAACCCTGCCATAGTCAGTTGAAAGTCTGATAGCATATGTTCCGTTTGATTTGACCAAACTAATGCCTTTCATTGCTTTATAAATATCAATAATAATACCTCAGGAAGATACTCCTGCCCAAGATGAAAGGGCCGTTTAGTGAGGACATTAACGATTACTTGGACCGTATCTACAGATGCTGGTGGGCGTCATGTTTGGTGAGTTTTTACCTTGCGGGTCTCGTTAGTCGTCAATTACTATTGTCAGACATCAATTATAGACAGTCTTTTTTTATTGAAATCTTTCAATTATTATCATCAGAATTTATTACAATATCAATGTTGTATAGAATTTCTAAAAATGGACTAGAGAAACCAAAAAATGCCTTGACAAGTGTACAGCGATGATAACAATCAGGGGACACCAATACACCCAAATAACTAAACAAAAGGCCTCGAGAGACCTGATGAAAAGTCGAGCAATTACATTGGGCCCCAAGTGCAGAAGGAGAAAAATGGGCAAATAATATGAGCTGTGAACTTAGGAGGCATTTCTAGGTTTTTAAGAATAATTGCCACAAGAAGGCTCACAATTTGAATTCTCGTCTGCCGGGGAAAAAATATTTCGTTTACTAAAAACCGTTTGGTTGAAACTAATAAGTTAATTGGTAGTCAGTAGACCAAGAGACTAATAAGTTAATTGGTAGTCAGTAGACCTAGAGACTAACAGTCTACCTCCCCTGTCCTCAGATAAAGACTCTAAAGAAATCAGACAGGAATATCGTGAGGATAGCGATTATAGCACACTCTGCTTTCGCTGGTGAATTCAGCGTGGAGCCTGATCTAGTTGTGAGTTTGTTTATCTATTTACGGGGAAGGAGTCGAGAGGGCGCTATCTCGTTTTGTGGGGGGGGGGGGGGGGGGCTAGTATTAACATGCTCACACTCTCGGTTTCAAATCAACAAAATCCACTCCCTTTAGTATTCCGGTTATTAAATAAGAATTCCTTGAATTCCTCCATGATGAAATCAAATATTAAATCCCGTTAAATAAAAGATATGACTTCAGAAATCAGGGAAGCCTATGAATATACACTGTCTGAGAATGAGATCAAACTACGTAGCATCAGACCAGTTTGACGCTGCAACTCTCCTCTCCACAACTAACGACAGATCAACCCATGGTAAAAAGATCCTATTCACTGCTCCAATCAACCGACTAAACAGAAAACATGTTGTAGAAAGGTTAGATAATCTGATGAGCTTGTCTTATCTGAAACGTCTCGAATCTCGATTCGAATATTAATAAAAAATTGTGAATTATGTGCTTTTTTATTGTAACAAAAATCACGATACTTTGGAATTACATTACTATTGGAATTTTGAATCATTAATAATTGTTCAATAATTTTCAATCCTCAGAGGATACGTGATCCTTACAGACAAGGCCTTGATATTCCTGACTAATCAAGTTCGATTGTAATCCAAGAAGACTATATTTCCTGAAGAAATGAAAGCCTGATCTCAGTACTCACGTGGACACTATGATAGTTATACAACACCAGCCCGAGGTTAGTCTTTGATCAGTAGGTTAGTAAACTTTATACATCCAACCGAGGTTTGTCTTTATCCTTAGGTTTTAGTAAACATTATACTACCATGCCGAGGGTTTGTCTTATCAGAAATTTTAGTAAACTTTAACACCCGGCCGAGGTTTGTCTTTATCAGTAGGTTTATAAACTAATACACCAGCCGGGTTTTGTCTTTTATCCATAAGTTTAGTAAAACTTTATAACACCAGGCCGAGGTTAGTCTTTATCATCATAGTTTAGTAAACTTATACATCAGGCCGAGTTTGTCTTTATCAGTAGGTTTAGTAACTTATATCAAACAGCCGAGGATTTGTCTTTATCAGTAGGTTTTAGTAAACTTTATACACCAGCCGATATGTCTTTATCAGTATTTATAGAACTAAATAAACACAGGCCGTGTTTGTCTTTATCAGTTGGTTTAGTAAACTTTATAACACCAGGCCGAAGGTTTTGTCTTTTTACAGTAGGTTTAGTAAACATTATACACCAGGCCGAGTTTTGATCTCTTTATCAGTATGTTTAAGCAAACTTAATACACCAGCCGAGGTTTGTCTTTATCATAGGTTAATAAACTTTATACACCAGGCCGAGGTTTGTCTATATCAGTATGTTTAGTAAACTTATACCCCAGGGCCGAGGTTTAGTCTTTATCAGTAGGTTTAAAGTAAACTTTATACATCAGGCCGAGGTTTGTCTTTATCAGAATTTATGTAAACATTATACACCAGGCCGAGGTTTTTGTCTTTATCATTAAGATTTATTAACTTATATCCCACCAGGCCTAGTGATTTTCTTTATATACAGTATTTTTAGTAAACTCCAAACACCAGGCGAGTAGTGCTTTAACATTAGTTTAGTAAACTTTATAACACCAGCCCGAGTTTTGTCTACACATTATCATTAGGTTTTAGTAAAAATTATACACCAGCCGAGGTTGTCTTTATCAGTTTGTTTTTAGTAAACTTTTATACACCCAGGCCGAGGTTTGTCTTTATCATAGGTTTAGTAAACTATATACACCAGGGCCGAAGTTTGTCATTATCAGTAGGTTTAGTAAACTTTATACACAGGCCGAGAGTTTGTCTTTTATCAGTATTATAGTAACCCTTTATACACCAGGCCTAGGTTGTCCTTTATCATTAAGTTTGTAAACTTATAACACCAGCCGAGTTTTGTCCTATATCAGTATGTTTAGTAAACTTTAAACACCAGTCCGATGATTGTCTTTATCATAAGTATATTATACTTTATTGAAATCTTTAATTAATATATACGGTGGGCCAAATCAGTGGCATACGTTTTGCCTTAATAGCTTCTTCACTGATTGCCCACATGGTTCTGAGGAAATTGTCAAATCGAAATATATCGAGATCATTTTTTTCAATGAAAATTTCATTTTGCATTTATTTGATATTTTGGATATCGGATCTAACATAATTTTTCTTGAATTTGTCAGATCATATTCAACATTTAATACTCAACCTTCTCCAGAAAAAATATGACGTTCAGCATGTCAGAGAAAACAGTATAGGTGTTATAATTATGTTTTAAATATTGAATGGCGTGGGTCTAAAATATTCGAATTTTCAAATTATGACGACGGAATCCTCGAACCAGTAAGTACAGAAATGCCCATCTGCAAAGCAACACTCTCAAATAAGAAACATGGTGGAAGCTATTAAAGGCCAACCCGTATGGCCCACTTATACTTTTTGGCCCCCCTGTATTACATGACCAGCTTTGAATACCATTACATCCAGTATAGTATAGCATGATCGACATACTAAAAACACATGCCTCTAATAATAGTAAATCAAAAACTAACGAGAGCTAAACAAACTCCCTCTAAAAAAAAAAAAAAAAAAATAAAAAAAAAAAATTTAACTAATCTATAATAAAACTGTTTTTCCAGGCGGGAAAAGACATGGTGCTAGATTTTGGCGAGGACAGGAAACATCACACCCAAAACCAAGTTGGTCGAAATCTCTACCTCGCCTCTAATAACAGAGTAACAGATAAAGGTGAATGTTTACGCGGACGTAATCAATATAACAAATCAATGAAAACCTGATGTATCCGATGAACTAATTTCAGGAGTGTTTTAAACAGCTTACGTTGTATTGCAGACTCTTGCCCTTCACTTAACAAATACTGAATTTTGCAAAGATGGGATTGAGCCTTTTTTAATAGGATAACAAATTTGGATGCTTGTCATATTTGACTTTAAAGTTAAAGCGTGATATGTGTCATGTAACTAAATACAGCACGAGCAGTGCATGCCATTAATTATGACTAGATAGCGAAAAGACAGCGAATTGAATTTCATTTGACCTCTGCGTATATCGTACCGAATTTTTAAGTCACTTACTTTTATTCACACACAACCAACAACAATTGCTAAGAATGAGAAGAGTACTAAGTTTGAAGCCCATGGTCTCCCTCTTGAACACACAAGAACAAGTTCCGTCAATTTTTCACGGGGGTCGAGACGACCTGCACTAACATTAGCTACAATACCAGTGCCACTAAATTGATGACTAATTGTTCGATAATTTGACTACTTTCTAGATCATTAGAAGTCTTACAGGCGAATTTAGATGTCTCAAAAAAACGGATAGTTCGCTGTTTATTAGTCTCAAGATTGAAATACAGAAATCTTTCTATTAATCCGGTTGGAAGAGACAAGGCCAAGTGAAACAGGAAGTTAGGCGTACAGGTCAAATTTTCGGCGACAAACGCAATCTTCCAGGGCCTCAAATTATTTGTTATATAGTAGTGTTAAAAGAATTTTATGTACTTCAACACTACTATATAACAAATAAATTGAGCCTAAGATGGCGTTGACGCCGCAAAATTTGCCCTTACCCTAACTTCCTTGTTACACTTGTCCTAGTCCTCTTCCAACCGGATAATATCCATATATCAGAATTTTAGATGGTTGCCTGACGATACAATATTATTTTATTATCTTAATATTGTAACCTACATGAAAGCCCAGGTCTTTGCCTTTATCAGAATTTATTTTTTAAAATAATACAGTCCAAACTGTAACAGTGGAATTCAAACAAACTGTTTTAGAATATTGATTTAACATTTGAAGTTTTATAATCAGTAAAAAAGTGAGGTTTGGAATCAAGATCATTTATGATATAGAAACATGTATAATACGCTTCGTTAGCGAGTATCCCATTGTTCTAATCCTATAATTTAAACAAAAAATGGGCAATAAATTACGTCCACCGATTTGGTCGATTTTGAAGCCCTCATCCTCCCCTCGCCCCCTCCCCCTCCCTCGAAATTTAGTGTTTTTGCTGATCAAGAACTGTACTTATATTAAACAATATATATGATTTTATTGATAAAGATATTGAAATTTAAAGAAATTCTAAATAGAGGACGAATATGTTGAAATTAACATACAACTTTATTAAAACCTATTTTTATCTACATTTTTTATTTGAATTACTTTCAACGCCCAAATTTAATTTCACTCTTTAGAAAACGTATTTTTTATCCCAATTCCAAATATTGGATAAGATTCTTGATTGATATTTTTTTTCGTCGCCTTTAATGTGGCCATAAAATCTATTTAGTAAATGAGTTTTTTTAAGAAAAACATTCAGTATATTAGATACAAAGACAATTCATGCATGCTGCTAACATTTACAATTTTATTTTAAGTACCAAGATATCGCCTTTTATTTAATGCTAAATAACTTTCTATGTTTTGTTTACTGGTGGCGCTCAGCCTGTACAATACCGCCATAAACATATGAACCAATTAAGCCTGGAGTCCCAAGTAAAATTTAGATTTAAAAAAATTTAAGAAAATGGTAAATTTTGAACATTGTCGCCCATATTTAATTTAAACCCCTGCATTGGGCAGCACAATGAAGTGAGATATGCCCAATTTAAGGTAAGACAGATCTGAGAACATTTTAGGCCTGACGAAATATTTTCAGTTTCCATCGGTATTTATCGTCGATACTGAACACCTGCACCCTATTAAACAAGGAACATCCAACATCTACGACTTGCGTTAATCTCAAAAATGACGACCTGGGATCGAGACCAGACCACGCAGCTAGTCCCAAATCCGACTTACATAGCTCTTCTATTCAGCTTTAACGGCCGATGTAAATCCATACTCGTCTAAAATTCTTCGCAGTACGCGCGCTGCTATTTTACTTGAAATAATATCCAGCAAAGAGGCAATACCTGCGCCACGTCGGTAAGCATAATACCCTGCAATGCATATCAATGGACAATGAATGGACTAACCCGGACGCGGGCCACTTAAGCTTTGTAAGGCACCTGCTCCTGCCTCAATTACAAGAAGAACTTAGAAAGTTCAAATTATAAACTGCAAGTCATTTCTCATTTAATGCTTGCATCGCTTTGAGAAAAATTGAAGATTAAAGGCCAGGTTGCACAATGCAGCGCCCATGGCTTAGTGGCGATACACGCTAGGCACTGCGCCGTCGCCCGTCAATCAGCCTAATATTTTTACAATTTACATTGCATGTCGCATGATTGCATTTTACAATAAACGATTCTAAATTGTAATACTTATTAAAATTATCAGTGAAATTATGTATAGCTTTTAAATGTCAATGTCCGTATTTTACTGGGCCGCGCTCAAGCCTTCCATTCCGCCAAATCTCTATGAACATAATAGCCTGAGGTCCCAGGTAATGGGCCGTATAAAAAAGCAATTTTTGTTTATATTTGAACTTAAATATAACACAATTTGAAATTGATTGGATATGGAAATAAAATCTTAATTCGAGGTCCATGCCAACAGGCCAGGAAAAAAAAAGCTTAATTAAGATATGCATGTGCATTGTAAAATGTTTAAATCAGTGAAAGTATGTATTAAATTTTATCAACT